TACAATAATTTCAAAGTGAGGGCAAATTTACCTAACATTACAGGGCAAGCAGGAATTATCCATAAGTTGGACGTTCTTAACCTGCAGACTCATTTTAATGAAATCCCAAAAATATCCAAAGATTTTATAAAATGAAGAATCCCATCTCATTGGCATACAGGGCTAACTCCATAATTAACTGCCTTTTTTTTTAAAACCTTAATTCTGGTAGCGTAGTGGTTACGAATCGGGCTGCAAACTGCAAGGTCAGCGGTTCGAAACTACCAGCTGTTCCGCGGGAGAAAGATGAAGCTTTCTGCTCCCGTAAAGATTTACATCCTCAGAAACCCTGTACAGGGTCACTATGAGTCAGAAGCGACTCCAGGGCACTTAACAACAACAACAACAACTCAAAACTCAATTTGCATTTTTTTCACTCACAATTAGAAAGTGAAGTTAGTTAAATACTTAAAACCTTTCAGTTTCCTTAACGAACTGCACTGGAAACATTAACAAAAGTGTGATGGGATGTTGGGACTGACTCATGTATTTGCCTGTGATTTTACAGCCTCCTCTGTCAGGAGGTACTTTGGGTGGAGAATGTTCCTGGTGTGAGTGAAACATTGCCAGGCCTTGCTGTTTAACAACACAGAGCAATCCTCACACCCTTTACTACCAAAGCCAAAAGCCAAGACGATCCAAGGCTGCTGCTTTTAATAAGCTACTAGAGCCAGAGGGATGCCCCAGGGTGGCAGGAAAAACTGGAATTTGGAGGTGCACATTCTTAATGAGTTGCTTTAACAACAACAACAACAACAAAGGATAAGCACTGAACTACTAATCACAAGGTTGGCAGTTGAAACCCACTAGCTACTACTTGAAAACACTATTCAGGGTTGCTGTGACTCAGAGCAGACTCGATGTGTGACCCATAACAACAGATATATGTTGTTGCTGTTATAAAGTGCCGTCAAGTCAGTTGCGACTCATAGTGACCCTATATAGGGTTTCTGAGGAGTGGCTTTGCAGTCTAGTGCATTAATCCATAGCGTCACACCAGGACTCCATAACTCCATATGTATATATATATATATAAATATATATGTTGTTGTTAGGTGCCATCGAATCGGTACTGACCCATAGCGACCTTATGCACAGCATAACGAAACACTGCCCGATCCTGGGCCAACCTCAACACTGTTGCTACGCTTGAGTTCATCGATGCTGCCACTTGGCCAATCCATCTCGTTGGGGGTCATATATATATATAGTTACATATAGTTACTGTTTTCCTGAAGTCAATGAGCTTGTTGGGTGTTTATGAATTCCTGGCACTTAGTCCAGTATCTGGGATCCTGGTGGCTCTGTGGGATAAACACTGGACTGTGAACCACAAGGTCAGCAGTTTGAACCCACCACCTGTTCTGAGGGAGAATGATAAAGCTTTCTGCTCTTGCCAAGATTCACAGCCTTGGAAATCCTATACAGGGTCTCTCTGAGTCAGAACCAACTCAGTGGTACATAACAAGTCCAGTGTCTAGTACACAGAAGATTCTCAGCAAATGTTTGATTGAATTGTAACTAGAGGTTTCAGCATGAGTGGAGAGAATACTTGAGGTGTGTATGCGTGTGTGTGTGTATAGCTTCCTGTCCATTCGTTCCTCACACCTTTTCCTCACTCTTTTCTTTTTTTACCTCACTCTGGTTGGTTTTTTTTTTTTTTTACTTCCTTCTTTGTATTTGGCACCCCAAAATATTACAACTGCATAATGAGTTTCATTAGAGAGAGCTGGCTTGTCAGGACACAGCTCTGTCCATCTCTGGTAAACATGGTATGAATTTCATTCTGGTTTTTATAAGGCTATAAACTTTGGTTCCAATCTTGCTTACTCATTACAGCCACCTGGATAATAAAAACCTCTGATGCCTGACTCCCACCTCAGATTTGCTGATCCAGTTGGTCTGGGGTGGAGCCTGGACTTGGATATTTTTTCAAGTTCCCTGTTGCTGTGTGCCATCCAGTCGGTTCTGACTCATAGCGACCCTGGTGGGTTTGAATTGTCCATCTTGTGGTTAGCAGTCCAGTGCTTATCCTACATAGTTCTAAGGTTGGGAGCCACAGCACTTAAAAGCGCTGCCAGACAGATAATCTGAGAAATCCTTAGGGACCAAGACTCTTTCATGGGTCTCACCAAACTTGGGTCATAGTCCAGTTGACTAGGCCATTCTAATGCTCTTAAAAAATCCTAGATTGAGTAGCTATTTTTATCTTGTTTTGTTCTCTACTTAATTTAGGTCCCTTTCCACTTGGGTCTCAGAAAAGACTTTCTAAGGGATTTGGGGCAGGACTTTGAACCAGTTCACTGCAGTTTGGCCTTCTACTTCAATATGGTGGTGGTGGTTATGTGCTGTGGAGTCAGTTCCGACTCATAGCGACACTATATAGGGTTTCCAAGGCTGTAAATCTTTACAGGAGCTGAAAGCCTTGTCTTTCTCCTGTGGAATGACTGGTAGTTTCGAACTGCTGACCTTGAGGTTAGCAACCTGACTCGTAACCACTACGCTACCAGAGCCCCTTCGGCTTCAGTATATCCCCCCCAGATAGACTGGGGTTAGGAGCTGCAGTTCAACAAGATTCCCAGCTGCTTCTTGTGAAGAGCTTCAATGTGACAACAGAAAAAGACACTCATTATGCTGCATTTTCACTATTTTCACTAACTGTGACAGTTAGTTGTCCGTAATTGAAACCTGGCCATATATAAGGATCTGCAAGATTCTTATGTACATGTAAGATTCACTGGGGGAGCTCTAAGGATTCCTATATATTACCTTGAAGATCTTGTTAAAATGTCATTTTTGATGGGGTATATCTAGGGTGTAAAGGCAAATTCTCAGCAAGGAGTTGAAGTGGAATAAACCGGTTCCAAACCTTGGTTTTGGAGGAGTTAGAGTTTAAATTTTATTTCTTTGGTGGTAGAAAGATGTCTCAGGTGCTTATGATTTGAACTTCAGTTCACAACACAATTGTTGACAATTTCCAGGGCATAACTCCACAGCTATGAATAAGAAACATACAAAATGAAATCCTCAGTTTTGTCGTACACTAGTTTTATTAGGGAGATTATCATTGAGAAACCCAAGGTTGTTTCACTGGAAATGCAAACTCTAATGACTAGGGAGAGGCAGGGAACTATAAATTCAGGATCTCAGCTACTCACTTTACATATGTTTCCTAGCTCTCTGCCCAACTACCTCTGTCTGAAAGCTCGGCTCCAACTGAAGACCTGTGTGGTTTGAGGACACCCATGTTTGCGGATCTGAACGGAGCTCTTTGATTGGGTATGGACTTATCTTTGGGGTGGTTTGATTTTATTCAGAGCCTACATGGCTAATCATGTGTCTTCATCTGCATGACATCAGTTTAATTCAATTTATATCTGAGGCAATTTGCAAGGGCTCTAAAGGAACCTGGAGTTGAGATGCCATCTTTAGTGGCAGGTGTGGAATGGTGTAGCATGGGTGGACTTGATAAACACAGTCCCCAAGTATGTGGGGTTTCAGAAATTTTACTCGGTGTGAACCTCATTTTAGGATCCTCCTCCTCAAAGCCTTTATTAACTAGTTTTAGAGTAGCTAGTGGTGAAGAAGATATAAAACAGGCTCTCCTTGTTTCTTTTTGGTAAAAATGAATTGATCTTTAAACAGGATTATGTTTGTACGAGATAAAGGTGACAAAAAAATCACTCGAGAAGCCTGAAGCCATATTGTTGTTAAGAGCTGTTGACTCACAGCGACCCTGTATAGGGCTTCTGAGGAGTGGCTAGTGGGTTTGAAATGCTGACCACGTGGTTAGAAGTCCAGTACTTATCCTACAGTGCCATACCAGGACTCTGTATTGTTATTATGTACCATTGAGTGTGTACTTTACGCACAACAGAATGAAACACTGCCCGTCTCATAGCAACCCTGTATAGGGTTTCCAAGGAGCTACTGATGCTTATCTTACAACACCACAGGACTACATATTGTTGTTGTTGTTGTTAACTACTGTGGAGTTGGTTCCAACCCATAGCAACCCTGTATAGTGTTACATATCATTGTTGTCGTTAAGTACCGTGGAGTCGAGAAGTATAAAACAGAAAAACCTTTTACCCCTCCCAGCTCCACCCCCAAAATTCATGGCCAGACATATTTTAAGGAAAATTCAGCCCGAGGTTAAGTGTTGACACTGTTAGGGAAGGAGGTTTGAGGGAATGATTCGCTCTTGTCACATTCGACACTGAAGGAAAGTACCAGACAAGCATAGAATGTTGGCTTTGTTGTTGAGGCTGCGCTGACAAACATGGCTTGAACCTGAGACCCATGGGGGCTCCTTCGCCTCCCTCTGGGCCGTCCCAGGCAGTGCAGCCCTTGAAGTTGGATCCCCCAGACTGCCTGGGGACACTCACCTTAAGGAGGCGGCAGCTGCCAGATAAATGCAGGCAGGTTCTGACAGGAAGAGTGTAAAACCATTAAGGCGTCAGCCTGGCTCCCTGGGGAGACGAGAACTGAGGCCCACTCAGTGATGCCAAACTCGGACGATTGTCTTATCAAGAGAAGCTTGAGGGAAGGGTGGAAGGAAGGGAGCAGGACGCTTTCTCTGAGAGGGTGGAAATCTCTGTTTTTGGAATCGAGGTAGAAAGAGGAAGAAAAGAAACGCAACTGTAATGCAACACACATACACAAAATGTAAAAATCAGTTTTACCCTAAAGTTGAATTCCTAGTGCCCTGTGTAAAGTTGATTCCATGTGTGTCAGAATAGAGCTGTGCTCCACAGGACTTTCAATGGCGGATGTTTTGGGAAGTAGAATGCCCGGCCTTTCCTCTGAAGCACCTCTCAGTGGACCTTAGCTCAGTGAGCAGTCGAGCATGTAAAAGGTTTGCAGCCCCCAGGGACTCTCACCTCCAATCCCAATAAGTAATGGAAAGGGCTTGGCTTTCTTTGATTAGTGTTTCTGTTTCAGATTTCACTGAAACGATCATGAATTCACTCGGGACAGCAAACACTCGGTTTGGGATTGATCTTCTCAAAGAGCTGAAGAAAACAAGTGACGACAATATCTTCTTTTCCCCTGTGAGCATCTCCACTGCCATTGGCATGATCCTGCTGGGCGCCCGAGGGAGCACGGCCCACCAGCTACGGAAGGTAGGGGCTTCCTGCTTACTCTCAGACTCTGCTCAGATCCCTTTCTCAGGGCCAGCCCTCCGACATCGCTGGGGTCAGGAAGTGGAGGAAGACCATGAGGAAATGGAGCAATGTCAGGTCCCCCCAGGGAAGACAGTTCCCTACCCAGATGCCGTAACTCCATGTGCTCTCTGATGGGTGAAGTGCCTTTGGGTGGGGCATGGGTGAGTGGCCTTGTCCAAGCCATTAATCTTTAAATTCAAGCTAAAACGTGAAGAACAGTAACTACTGGGGGAGATGATATAATTCCCAATTCTAGCATAGTTCAGAGTTACTGGGAAGCAAATGGTTAACCTTTGGAGTACCATGTATGGGACTGGCAGTTGAAGCCCAACCACAGGTGACTCGGAAGGAAGACCTGGTGATATCTTTCTGAAAGGTCACAGCCTTGCAAACCCTTTGGAGCAGTTCGACTCTGCACACATGTTGTTCTCCATGAGTTGAAATCAACTGAATGGTAACTAACAACAGCAGGGTATAAAATGCCACCTCCAGACCCAGAAACTCACAGCCATCAGGTTGATTCTGACTCAGAGAGGCCATAGATGGAGTTTCTGAGACTGTGAATCCTTGGGGAGCAGATAGCTTCAACTTTTTCTGGCAGAGCAGCTGGTGGGTTTGAACTGTCAACCTTGAAGCTAGCTGGCCTATGCCTAACCCATAGCACCACCAGGGCTTCTTTCAAATGCCATTGTCAATGATGAATAAATGAATGATAATAGCTCCTCTGCAGAGATAAGTGGATAACCCAGGCCTCCTTGTGTTCTCAAAGAGCGACATGGGAGCCGTGTACCACGGAGGTTTCTTGAGCAAATATCCTCTTTGCCCTGATGCATTCTTGTTGTTGTTATGTGCTGTGGAGTCGATTCTGACTCATAGCGACCCAGTACAGGGTTTCTGAGGCTGTAAATCTTTATGGGAGCAGAAAACTTCATCTTTCTCCCGTGGAACAGCTGGTAGTTTTGAACTGCTGACCTTGCGGTTCGCAGCCCGATTCATAACCACTACGCTACCAGAGCTCCTTGATGCATTCTTATTGCCATAATATTTCATACTTCTTCCAGGTGTTCTACTCTGAAAAAGACACAGAAAGTTCTGAAGAAAGTTCTGAAGAAAAGGTAAGGAGACAAATCTTAAAGCCTAAATTTAGTATGGTTGGCTTGTTAGGTATAGAGTTGACAAAGAAAAGATAATTCTTCATGTGTTTTACTAAGCTATCCTATTTCAGCAGCCAAACACTGTTAAGATTATACACGAACAAACCCTTAATCTTAGGAGGGAGTCTAATGTTGCAGACTATTATTATCCTGACTGCTGACCAAAAGGCTGCAGGTTCCAGTTCACCCAGAGGTGCTTCAAAGAAAGGGCTGGTGAGTCCTTGAAAGCCCTGTGGAGCACAGTTCTAGTGTGACACACACGGGGTTGCTATGAGTTAGAATTAATTGGAAGTCAACTGTTTTTTTCTGGATGATTCTGGTGGACTCCCTGGGGGGTGCAGACAGTTAACACACTCAACTGTTCATTGAAAGGTTAGAAGCTTGAGTCTACCCAGAAGTGGCTTGGAAGTAATGCTTGGCAATCTACTACCAAAAAATGGCTGCCATGAGTTGGAATTGACTTGACAGTAACTGGTATTTAATTAATATTGTTGTTGTTGTTGTTGTTGTCAGGTGCCATCGAGTCGGAACCGACTCATAGAATATTAAGAGATTTTAACTTGAAGGGGATTCAAACTCACCAATCACTCCTCAGAAACCCTATACAGGCTCACTATGTGTTGGAATCAACTCAAAGATGCTTAATAACAACAACTTGAAAGAGAAATAACCAATCTGTTGAATACTGGTCAAAACTCAGTAGAGTGAAATAACTACAGTGATGTATACTAGTAAAAGCCCAATAGAGTAAAAAGTAACTATAAGAATTGGAGGAGTTTTGGAGGTAAATAGATTTGTGTTCAAAGCCTGGCTCAGTCACTCAGCCGTAGACCCCTGGGCCCATCTTTTACTTTCTTGTGTCTCTGTAACGTACTCAGTGGGGCATGTGGAACACGCTGGAGCTCCTCCGGTCCTGGTCGTTGTCACTGTTGCTTCTGTTGAGTTGGCGTTAGGGGTGGTAATAGGGGGTATTATCACTAAATTAAAAACTTCATTTAAAAACAAAAATGTTGCATTTAAAAAGAAGTGTTGTTAGGTGCCTTGGAGTCAGTTCTGACTCAGTGATCCTACACA